GGGTTTTCTCCCCGAGTATCTCAATGTACATGAACTTCAGTATCACCTGTCACTGAGAGTCACTGATCTTTTTCAGGCAATAAGTCAAATGCCAGGTATTGTTTCCTAGTTCAAGGTCATGTCTGGTTTGTGAAGATGGACCCAAATCAGACGGGGCATTAAGCAAAGTGTTGTATTTTAAAAGAAATGATTGTTGATGAGCCTTTACTTGAATGCTATGAAAAGCCTATTTCAGAGTCTTTTTTTTTTTAAGTCAGAACAGGCTATTTTTAATATAATAATCCTATCGCTTAAAAGAGGAACGCTGGCTTTGATGTCATTTGGTGGATGAAAACATTCTTGCTCAATAGAAAACCAGCATCTTCTTCATGCTCCTTTGAGATCAGTTCAGGCAACACACTGATGTGCATTCAGATATAAATGCCGTATTCACTTTGAAATGCAAATTGTTTAAAGAAAAATAGCATATGGTGGAGGTAAGTACCTTTTCAAATCAACTCGTACACTTCAGGGCTATGCGGAAAGCTAAAAGTATTCTTTGGGAAGAATCTGGGGCTTTTGACAGAAGGAAGCAGCTAATCAGGGCGGCCCAGTGCGCACACGCACGCCCACATGAAGGGGATGGCCCTGGGCCGGGATTAGCATGGTAATTGGGCTGCCCCCTGCGAGTCCGGCCAGCAGCCCCAGCTCCATGGGGTATCTGAGGAGACACTGTTGCTGGGCTCAGGAATGGGCCAGGAAGTCGGCCTGTGTATCACAGTAACACAGATCGATTGGGGGCGTTGTGGGGGGAATATTGAGACAATACCAAAGAGGGCCCGTTGTGATCTGCTTCCTATGGACACCAGTGTCTCATACTTTGTAGGGCTGGGCCATTCTTGGGAGAAACTGTCTCCGCCCGACCTGACTCCACGTCTCATACTTCCTGACCTAACCTCTGAATTCACAAGCCATTCCTATGATCTTGTGGTGATTTGTTTTGTTTCTTTTTTTTGGGGGGGGGGGGGTAAATGTTATTGATATAATGTACACAAAGAAAGTGCAAAATCCTAAGTTATAGCTAAGTAAGTACACAGGTGACCAGCGCACAGATCAGAAAGCAGCAGGTGGCCAGCTCAGGAAGGCCCTGTGGACCACCTCCTGCACTGCCCACACCTCCCCCCAAACACACACACACGAGGGCGATGGCCATCTGATTTCTCACTACAGATGAGTTTTGCTTGCTGATCTGGAACCGTTGGATGGGAGCATAGCAGTTGGTGCTCTCTTATTTGTCTTCTTTTGCTCCACATCCTCTCTGTGGTCCTTTGTGGCCCGTGTCATAGTTAGTCCATTCTTGCTGGGTGTAACATTCCATCGTATGGATACACTAAGAGGTATCGGCGGTGGATGGACATTTCAGCCATTAAATACCACTATGAACATTCTTGTGCGTGTTCTCTGGTGGATGTGTTTATGCATGTTGGTATGGTTTTAGTTTGAAGGATATGAAATAAAAAGAGGAATCTTGAGTCCTGGCCCAGTGGCTCAGTTTGTTGGAGCATCACCCCTTACACCAAAAAGCTTGCTGGCTTAATTCACATACCGAGGGCTGCAGATTTGATCCCTGGTCAGGGCACATACGGGAGGCAGTTGACCAATCTTTCTCTCATTGATGTCTCTCTATCTTTGTCTCTCTGTCTCTCCCTCCCTTCCTCCTCCACTTTAAAATGTATCCTCAGGTGAGAGTGAATAAATAAATGCATAAATAAATAAAAACAAGACTCTTGAGAGAGAAACATGGGCTGTTCTGTGAAGGCCTCCCATCAGTTGAGTCAGCTAGGAGAGCAGTGGGGTTGTCCTGGGGTAATGTAGTGTCCCCTCTTTCCATACTGTTCTGTATAGGGTGGGCCAATTCCAAAGTCTAGAGGGATCCACGAGTCTTTCCTGAGCCGTCCAGCAGGCATGATTCCCTGCTGCTCATACCTTCTCACGGCTCCTGAGGTCCTCACCTGGCATTTTGGCCACATGCAGACTTGTCTGGTACTTTCTACTGGACTAAATGTAGCTTCCGTAAGGACGGGACTCTGTCTCCTTCATTGTGCCCGTCCAGCAGGGGTTCAAGGAGGTGAGACAAGGGAGTCCAGGAGGTCACTGTGAGGAGGTGGCAGGTACGGTGAGGTCTGACTTACCCTCCTTGCAGGGGAGCTGCCTGCCTGCCAGTTTCTGGGACTCTGAGACTCCTGGGTAAGGACAGGTGACAGTTCCTGGCAGCAGTAGCAGTGGCCAGAGCATCCGCATTGCCATGTTCCCCCAGGGGTGACGTCGGCACACTCAGCAGTTACTTCTCAGGAGAGGAGAGGACCTGCGGTCAGGAAACCTTGCTCTTTATAGTGGGACACGATCGGCATCGACTCGGGCCAGGCTGTTCCCAGCTTGTAATCCTACCTGTGTTTTGGTCTGTAACGCCAGCCCTGCTGACCCTCCGTACTTGTGATGCTAGTGTGGCTGGATAGCAAGAGCTCAGGTCTTTTGTTAAACGCACTTCTCACTAACCAGGGGTCAGAATTCCATTTAACTGGTCAATTTGAAGCTTCCTGTCTTTATTGACTGTTGACGGCCACGTGGGTTCTAGACCCCCAGCTGTTCCGCCTGGCCCAGCATGGCGGCCACCTGCAGCACAGGGAGAACCTGGCGGCATTTAGAACCGCGTTCAGGCGCCACTGTGTTCAGGTGGTCTTGATCTTGAGACCTTTCGCTCTCAGGAAGTCAGGCAAGTCATGGGCCTCTTTCACCAATGGGAACTCCAGCTCCTGCGCTTAGCTAATAACTATTCGTGGGCAACGACTTCCCATTCGAGGAACATGGTAGCCCTAGAGAGCTTAGAGAATAATGTGGTTTTAGATGTAGCATCTCCCTTCGGTGCTCAGAAGTGAAAACTCCCTGGGTGGTATATACAGGTCAGCATTGCCACATGCATCTAGATTTAAAAAACGAATTGATGGCAGTGTTACCTGGCCAGGTAATTAGTAACCTTCATTCAGGAACAGAAATGAAATTACCCATGAGCCTTTGCTGGGCACATGCGTGCATGCGTGTGTGTGTAAAAATAAGCATCAGAAATTCTGACATGAAATACTACAATTAGATTTTAAATCTGTATAGTTTTTAAAATATTCATATGCCTGGCCATTGTGGCTCAGTGGTTGAATGTCAACCTATGAACCAGGAGGTCAGAGTTCGATTCCCAGTCAGGGCACATGCCCGGGTTGCAGGCTTGATCCCCCGTGTGGAGTGTGCAGGAGGCAGCTGCTCTGTGACTCTCCCTCATCGTTGATGTTTCTCTCTTTCTCCCTCTCCCTCTCTGAAATCAATAAAAATCTATTTTAAAAAAATTAAAATATTCACAAAACATTGGGGGTAGTTGGTTAAAATATTCACGAAACATTGGGGGTAGTTGGTTTGACTGATGGATTTCTCAAGTTGGTAGAAATGCTTCAAAGTGTGCCTGCTGGCCCGCGACTGCCTCCCTGGGTGGGGTGCTGCCCGGGCCTCCCTGGGCCAGCACGACGGCTGCACCTCATCACGCGCCCCTCTATGGATCACTGGTTTCCCTCCAATTTAAAACATGTCTCTATGTATTTACATTTATAGACAACTACCTGGTTGTGTGTCTCCAAACTGTATATTTAAGGCAGAAACTATTTCTTTCCCCTTATACTTTTCTATTTTCAGTTAAACAGTTATATTTCTGTATCATTACAGTGGCTCAGCGGTGGGTGACAGTCCGAGCTCAGGGACTGGCTTAGCAGTGGGTCCCGGCTTGTGTGTACCCTCATTGTTGTTTTCCCAGTTCTCTTCGCTACCTTCTCATTTAACTCTCATCCACTCTAACAATGTTAGCAGTATCCTGACGCCTTGGTCTGCAAGGAAGTCTGTGGAAATGGAAGGGGTCTGGGGGCCCCAGGAGGGGTTTGGGAGGAGCCTCATCCCGAAATCAACTCTGATTAGTGGGTGTGGGGATCAGCACCCCCCAGGGGAAGAGAAGGCCCAAACAACACCTTTTCGTTCAGGAGGTTTTGTTGTTTTTTCAAAACAATTTAAAACTTAATTGGTTCTAAAGTAAAACAGTTGGAGGACGGGGGTGGGCACACAGTGCAATATCCAGATCTTGTATCATAGAAATGTACACTTGAGACCTATATGATCCTATTAACCGATGTCACCCCAATAAATCTAATAAAAATATTTTTTAAAAATAAAACAATTGGAGGAAAGTGTAAAAAGGAAACCTAATCCTTTGAAGCTCTGCACATAGAGCTAACAAGCTCACTAGCAGCAAGGTGTGGTTGGCGGGGTGGTAGAGAAAGGCATGGAACCTAAAAGTAGGGTCACCAGAAAGTGATTCATTTTAAAGTGGAGCAACTAATGCAGATCCCTAAGTTACAGTGGAAACTTTCTCATCACCCTCCATGTGCGCCATGGAGTGGCTAAGGTTGTTTTTCCTCTGACTCGTCTTTTCAAGTTCAAGGGTAAACTCGCCTGGTTTCCTTGCACATGCATCCAGGAACTTTGGTTTGTGTTGATTGTCAAGTATATCTTCACTGTGGACACAATTCTCTGGCACCAAAACTGACTCCCGTTTGGCGGTCATTACCACACGGCAGCTCCTGTAGGGCCCTCCTTGCTGGCTTTTTCCTAAAGGAGGTCTCCTGTCTGCACCTGGGCTCCATCTAGAGACGGTTGTGCCGGGTGTCTTTGTGTGGGATTGTTTCGGGCGCAGTCATCTGAGGCATTAGCCCCTCACCATGCTTTGCCAAGCACCCAAGACTCACTGCACCCTCCCGTTCCTCTGAATACATATTGTTTTGTGTGAAGCTTCCGCCTCCACGTAAGCAGGACGACAGCTCTCTCATCGCCAGGGCCCACTGTGCGCAGGTGCGCAGGCCCCTTAGACTAACTGGAGCTGGCTTCTGGGGTCTGCAGTCCGCAGCCTGTTCACCCGACTTGTTTATTCCTAGGGAATGTCACTAGTGCATCTGGGTCTCAGATGGCCGGCGGCATCAGCCTGGGCTCCTTCAGCAGCCGACCGGACGGCATGCAGCAGCGGTCCTACTCTGTCTCCAGTGCCGACCAGTGGAGTGAGGCTACGGTCATTGCAAACTCGGCCATCAGCAGTGGTAAGAGAGGACGCGGCCCCATGGACCCGCGGCCACCTCACGGCCCTCGGTTGTAGGCCAGGGGCTGGACTCGGCGCCCTGAGCTCTCCGCATTCCGCTCTGTAGCAGCACGTGGGGCAACATGTCGGCCCCGCACGTCTAGTCTTCCTTGATGGGCTGTGTCGCCCATTCAGCTCATTTGTTCCTCTTTGATTCAGGGAGGTGTAGCTGTTCATATCCACTTGACAAATTGGGAAAATGAGGCCGCAGGCAGACAGGGCAAGCAGCTTACTGAGGCTCACGTGACGGCAGAGCTGAGAGATAACGGCAGACTTCATGCCCTGGATCTCACTTTCTGCACTCGGCTCCCTCCATCAGTGCTCCTTTTGTATGTTTAGGGGGGTTTCCATCAAAGGAAAATGCACAAGTCATTCTCCAATATTCCCAGTATATCCTGGAAATCTTGGAGTGTCTCCCCCTTTTCTGTGGGCCCAGCTATTTGGGAAACACATGCACTGCCCTGATGGGTGTGCACCAATCAAGTCCTGCAGCGTCGGGCTGCTGGCTTCCTGCATCCTCTCTGCCTGTGGCATTTTGCCTGTGACCTGCTCACTGGTGTTTAAGGAATTCCCACTGTTGTATGTCATCTATCAGACAGGGCTTTCGAGTAATTTCAGCATAATTTGTTCTAATTAAAAGATTCAGCGTCAGGTCTTCCCTGTAGACCCACCAGCTGCTGCTGCAGGTAAACACCATCCATATTCTGGTGAGTCCACACCAGGCCTTAAAGGAAGATGTCCCCGGACCCAGCGAGGAGGACATGGGGAGTCCGTAAAGGCTGCTCCCGGGAGGCCGTGGCAGGGAGGGCCTGGCCAGGCGGTGGCTTGGCGTTGGAGTGCAACGTCCCCGAGCCAGCACCCAGCTCTGGTGCTGCGGGAGAGGACAGGGGTGGCCTTCACCCTGCGAAGGGGCTCTTCCAGGCTCTCTGCTTTCGTCTGAGATCATGACTGTCCCTTGAGAGCCCTGATGCGCAGGATCCTCCTCATTGTAAATGACTCCCTTGTGATGGGGCACTTGCATTCCCAGCCATCACCTGCCCGAGAGGCCTGGGGGCCTTCCTGTGTCACACATCAGCGCCACTGTCATTGCCCCACCTGCCGCCCAGGAGGCCTCGGGAGGCGCCTCACCTCCTGAGCCTTTGCATTCACACCTGCAACCTGGGGGTCCTTCCCCCCTTTGCGTTGTTGCGAGGTGCGCAGCACAACACCTGTTTGCGTCTTCCGTACTGAGCATCTTCTATTGTTATAGGTGTTACTTATCTTAAAAGGAGCAGGCAGTTCACGGATTTAATTATTGAATTATCAGATACTTGGAAAATGCATTGATTTTTTCATTTAGTGTTAGTATTACTAGCTGATTGGGGTTATGCTGTCGCCACCTTCCGTGGAGGTGGCTTGTACCTTGGAGGGTGGGAGGAACTCTTAATCCATGTCCCGCCCCCCCCCCCAACCCCGCCTTCTAGTCACCAACACTGCCTGGTTGTAGAGGGACAGTTTTAGGTTCTGCCCCCTAGGTGCTGTGGGAATCACAGAAAAAAAATCCAGAAATACCACAGAAGTCTTATTCTTACAGTTATTCCCCATTGGGAAGAAGGAAGGTTAGAAAAACAAATTTCTAAAAAAGGGCATCACCCCCAATCTTTGCCTTCCCTACATTCAGAATATTTTTATAGAAAAGATGTTGGAAGCAGCACATTAATCTAAAATCCAATCTATTTGGGCTTCCGCACAGTTCTTTCCTGGACAAAGGCTCACTGGCTTGCGTCCCTCGCCTTCATAGCTCTGTGCCTGGCTGCACCTGTGTGCCATGGGCTGTGCCACCAAACCCTGAAAAGACGCTATTTCCTGACCTTGGTGTGGTTGGAAGTTTCTTCCCACAGAAGTTGATCGCACACGTATTTATAAAACACCTGTAGGAGAGCAAGGTCGCCTGTGTAAGAATGCTGTTTCTAATTTGCAGAGTGATCTCTCATATATTAATGCCCTGGGGTCACCTTTCTTAATTCATGTAGTATGTTTGCTAAAGACTAGTTAGGCTCCCCAATGTTAGGGAGCAAGGAGATGAGAAACCCAAGTCTGTGCCTGGTACCAGCCTGCTGTGGGATGTGGATGGGGAACTTGAGAGAAAGCCTGTTGAAATGGTGCCGGTAGAGTTAATCAAGGAAAACTAACCAAAGAGCATCAAACTTGAGCGAAGCTTCAAGAACCAGGCGGGCTTTTTTGTGCAAAGCCACAGGAGGAAGTTATTATAAGCACTGAGGCAATTTGGACAAAGACTTGGAGCGGAGGCCCCAGGAGGTGGGAGAACCGAGGAGCTGCAGTAAAATGAGAGTGTGAGCTGGACAACAGCAGGAGAGCCGAGAGGAGAGGGCTGAGCAGTGAGAGCCCCAAACATCGTCTTGTAACTGACAGCTGACATTTTAAATAGAAAAATCCAGTGATGCCACAGTGGTAGTAATAGGAGCTAATATTATTGAGGCTTTCCTGTGGATGATGTCATTTGATCCTCAGGGAATAGACACCTGCAGGTTCCTTTTACTGGTGGGTAGATAGGTACCTAAGAATTCAGTATCACTTGTCCAAGGTCACACCCTCCTAAGGGCAGGGGTGCAAATTCAGGTGGCCTCTTTCCATATCTTAGCTCCACCTCACGGAGCAACTCATGGTGTGCTTCCTAGACAGGCGGCAGCCGCGCCCCCTGGGGGACAGACTGGAAATGCAGGTCCTTAGGTCCCATCCAGACTGAATTTAAAATGGGAGGGGCTCTCTGACCTGTGTGGGAACAAGCCCTCCGTGCACTGATGCTGCCTGCTAAGGTTTGAGAACCACCCTCTGAATCAGGGGTGGGGAACCTTTCTTCTGCCAGGGGCCATTTGGATATTTATAACATTTTTTATGGGTCATACAGAATTACCGACTTAAAAATTAGCCTGCTCTATTTGGTCAAACAATTAATTAACTCACTCCTAGCACCTTAGCAGGGCCAGACCAAATGATTTTGTGAGTCTTATATGGCACGCGGGCCGAACATTCCCCGCCCCTGCTCTAAATCCTGCTTTTCAAATGGTCATAGGCAGCCCCTGGAAATTGGCTAGAAAAGCGGGGTCCTAGGCTCCCCCAAGATTTACTGGATCAGAACAGCATGTTACCAAGCCCCATAGGTGATTTCAGGACACCTGGGGGTTGAGAAGCCCTGTCTGTCTGCCGTGAGGGTATCTATCGTGCTAGCCTCCTGATGGCACCGTCCCTGCCTTCATGAGTCGCCAAGGGGCCAGACCTGAGCCATTGTTAATGAATGTCCAGGCACAGGATCTGACGAACGGCTTCAAGAAAACGCATTTATGAATGGACTGCAAGACCTCAACTCGGGCACCAACACTCCCTTCCGTGCTTGGAAAATAATCACAAAAGACACAAGCAGGACGGAGAGCTTTCTGCCACGCTCTTCCTTTGTAAGTGGCAGTTGATACAAACCCCACCCTCTCTCTCTCTGTTGTTTTTTTTTTAATCGTTTTTATCTTTTTCCCCTTAGTCTTCAGTTTGGATGTTGGAGTCATAAAAAGCCTACACTGTGCTAGCAGCAGGGACAGGAGAAGCTAAGCAGCTTTTGAATTCAAATGCCCATGAATCAATGAATATGCTTTTATTCTAAAACATCATCATAATAACAACATTGGGATGCCATTTTTCTCTGCTCCGTGGTCCACACTGAATTAAGACTTTGGCTCCAGAGAACTTTGCCAAGTCCTCCCCACTCAGGCTCAGGTACCCCGGGGGTCTGTCTTGTAAGCAGCTCGTAATGAGGGCGATCACTTTGTAGTGCGCAGAGCACAAAAGAGGAGGCTCCGGGTAAGCGAAGGGGGGACGAAAGGAGGAGCCGGCTCTGTGCGCCGGCGTGCCCCACTGCTTTATGACTATTGCTGTTGTGAGGCTTTGCATTTAAGTACCTGAGGTTTAAAATTAAATGTCTGATGTAATTTGGCGTTGCTAACATGAGACCTGCATCTGCCCTCCGAGAAAACCCAGACAGCTCCGTTCAGGGTTTCAAATTGGCGTCTGCGGGCTCGCAGGCAGCGCGGAGGACGGGGTCCCCCGCAACCAAGCGCCGCGTGCTGCTCGGCGTAATTTTTTAAATGCAGAAACATATTCATCTTGGGCTTCTGCATTGAAAAAGGCTGTTCCCATAGTCCATGAAAAATTAATTTTTTTACATTTTTCCTCACTCTCCTAAGTGTTTGACAGAAGTAATTTTTGCAGCGAGAGGGAATAAAAACTGGTGGCTGTAAATTCCTGTCCTGGAACCCCTTGTGCAGATTCTTTATGGACCCGGAATTGATCTACATGTCAGAGCCTGTTGTGGTTCAAACTGTTTATCACCGTAATGGCCGGAGTGCGCCCGGGAACACCAACTTATAATCCCGGGTGAAAGAAATCGGTGTTTGCAGTCAATGAGGGGCAGCTGAGCTTTATTGATAGGTTCAGAGCAATTATCTCTGTAGCCGCTATTGGCTGAGGGTTTTCTTGAATCTTATTGGGAGCGTGTGATTTTTTTTTATTATTAATCACTTTATCTGTAGGTGATTTTCTCTAGAAGCACTGGCCCAGAGTTAGCTTTCCTGTGTGCAGCAGGGGACCCCTGGGGTCATCTGTAGCACACCTGGCTGTCATAGCTCACTCCAAGGCAGTGCTTCTCAACCTTGGCTGCACATTAGAATCACCTGGGAATCTTTTTAAAATCCTGATTTCCAGAGGATGAGGCCCAGAAATCAGGATTTTAAAAAGATTCCCAGGTGATTCTAATGTGCAGCAAAGGTTGAGAACCACTGCTCCAAGGCAAAACGCCGGTTAGATGCATCACACCTGTGCTGCGGCCCCCTCCGGGCGGGACTCTGTGAGTACCAGCCTTGGCCCCAGGGCCTCAACTGTTGCTGTTGCCGTGGCAGCCAGGCGTCCCCGCCTCTT